TCTGTCTCTAAGTGTAGCCCTGTGATAGACTGGTGACCTGTCCAGGGTGTCCCCTGCCTTCACCCTGAGTCAGCTGGGATAGGCTCCAGCCCCCCCGCGACCCCAATGAGGATTAAGCGGTGTATAGATAATGGATGAATGTGGAAGAACAACCCACAGTGGTCACTGAAATAACTTGAAACTGGCAAAAATAATAAGAAATAAAAAATTACTGAAAATGAACCAATGAAAATCAGACGTTGTTTTTGAATTGTGGTTCAACAGAATCATTTTAATAAACAAACTATTGAAACTGGCCTGGACAAAAAATGATGGTGCCCCTAGAAAAGATTGAAAACAATGTGATCATAGGGACATGTTAGACTAAGGTGTGTCCTCTAGTTAGCATCACAGGTGTCTACAAACTTGTAATCAGTCAGTCAGCCTATTTAAAGGGTGAAAAGTGGTCACTGTGCTATTTGGTAACATGGTGTGTACCACACTAAACATGGACCACAAAAAGCTAAGGAGAGAGTTGTCTCAGGAGATTAGAAAGAAAATTATAGACAAGCATGTTAAAGGTAAAGGCTATGAGACCATCTCCAAGCAGCTTGATGTTCCTGTGACCACAGTGGCACATATTATTCATTTAGAGATTTAGGGTATAAGTTTTTCATAAGTTTGTTTTGAAAATGATTCTGTTGAACTACAATTCAAAAACAATATTTCCATTAGTTCATTTTCAGTACATAAAAAAAAAAAAAAAAAAAATTATATATAAAAAAAAGTTATTGCTTTTGTCAGTTTCAAGTTACTTGAGTGACCACTGTGGGTTTTTCTCTCTTTAACGGAACGGTACCACGTGTGTACATGTGATGAGTAAAGCAGAACCTGCATCAGCACTTTTATGTGTGTTTGTCTGTGTCTTGCAGCCTCTTACCTTTGCGTTTCGTCATGATGGTGATAGCAGGGATGTCAGGTCTGTCTGAGAACACCTGTGGGTAGTTTGACAGAGCATCTTTCACCGCTTCGTAGCCATTTAACACCACCATGAGCTGAGTCCCCACAAACAGGCTGTACACGTTACCGTAAGTCCTGCTCAGCGCTGCAAAAGCCTCCATGGGGCTAGCAGGGCTGCTGGCTGCCTGCTGTCCGCCTCTCTTCTGGAGGAAAGACGGGACGAGAAACCCGCCGAAGTTGCCGACCACTGGCCATGGCTTCGGCCCTGGAGGAATGTTTCTATACAGCGAGTCCCGCTTCTTCTGGTACACAACCAGTAAGCAAGACAACAACAGGAAAGCTAGTAAAGCTGCAGTGTTTACACCTGTGAGAACAGAGCCGCTGAGCCATGACAGCGACATTATGGCGTTAGAGTTACGACAGGACAAACACAGGCAGCCACATCTCTGACTTTTAACCTGCCAGCTCAGGAGTTTCACCGAGTTTATAAGGGCAGCTCATGCTCTTCCTGTGTTGTTATGAACGCAGGAGTCAACGTAGTACCGTTACTGTGCTCCTATTGGCTGACGGAATGGAGCGCTGCTGCTATTGGTGCTCACACTGACCAATGAAACAGCGCTACTGCCCGCTGATTTACCTGACCACAGATATGTTTATGTGTTTGAGAGGCTGCCTGCTTGATTTACCTTGTCCGCCCTGACAGCATCAAATAGAGAAGTACTCTGATAGGGAAGCATGTTGTTTCAAAGGGTTTATAAGTTGTAGTTGATGGATTTAAAAGCTTCAGAGAACACTCTGGAGACTTCCCCGAAGGTTATAAAGTGAAACCTTCAGGGAACTTTCGATTAATGTTCTCTGAAGGCTTCATGTAGGTATATATATATATATATATATATATATATATATCAGGGCACATTTCCTTAAAAGTTATTTTGTGAAACCTTTGTTAAACCTAAAGGTTCCCTTTAAAAATAAAATAAAACATTTTATTTTATGATAATGTTCCCAGTGTGTTCCTTGAAGTTTATAGGGGGATTATTTATTTTTATTTATTTATTTTAATTTAGTAGAACTTTCAAGGGCCCAGAATGAAGGGAATCTTTGGGGAACATTTTTAGGAATGTCCCCTGAAGGTTTTGTGAAACGTTCTGAGGACCTTAGATAAACTTTCACTGAACATTATTTTGTTAAACCTTCAAGTAACCTAAAGATTTCTTTTTTAAAACAGAACCTTTATTGTAATGTTTCCAGAATGTTCCCTAAAGCTTACAGTTCATTGAACCTTCCCTTAAGGTTATTTTTTGTAGAATTTACACGGCTTGCCGATGTGTAGTGTGGAGTAGATAGTTGTATGTGTTCTCGAGCTGCAGTAAGCAGTGGAGGGGTGAAGAGAGAAGCAGGGACTTCAGAGATCCACACATTCTAAAGGAGGCCCTGGTTTAAAATAACCTACGTCGCTGTAAAAAAGTATTTGCCCCCCCTACAGATATCTTCTGTTTTTGCATATTTGTCACACTTAAATGTTTCAGATCATCAAAATAATTTTCATATGAGACAAAGAAAACACAAAATGCAGGTTTTTAAAAAAAAGCTGTCCAGCCTCATCTTGTTCGATGTGAGAAAGTAATTGCCCCCTTAACTACCGATCCAAATGACCAAATTCATTTCACCAGTGACACCTACATATGATTGCTGCCAAGCTTGTTGAATCTGAACATCACTTAAATAGAACCTGCCTGGCATTGTGAAGCAGGCTAACTGATATTTATCACTCTGGAAACTGTCACAAGGACTACTCTGGGATTCCAGCGAACCCCAGCGTCTTCTCCACAAATGGAGAAGACATGGAACAGAGGTGAAACTTCCCAGGAGTAGCCTGCAGACCACCATTTATCCAAGAGCGCATCGATATCTCATCCAGGAGGTCACAAAAGAACCCAAATGAACATCAAAAGAACTGTGGGCCTCACTTCCCTCAGTTAAGGTCAGTGTACATTATTCCACAATAAGGAAGACACAGGGCTGAAATGGCATCAATGGGAGACTTACAAGGCGCAAACCACTCCCGACCAAAAGAACATAAAGGCTCTTCTGGCATTTGGAGAAAAAAAAAATCTAGATGATCCCCAAGACTTTTGGAATAACATCCTGTGGAGTCAAAGGCAGAATTTTCTGAAAGACATGGGTCCCGATAAATTTGGTGTGAAGGTAATGCTGCATCCCACAAGAACAACATGATCCCAGTGATACCAGCAGTGAAACATAGTGGCAGTAGTGCATTGGTTTGAGGCTGCTTTGCTTTCACAGGATCTAGACGACTTATCATAACTAATGGAGCCATGAATTCTGCTCTCCTGGAAAAACCCTCCTGGAGAATGTTTGCCCATCAGTCCACTTCTGAATGGCTCCAAAAGACTGAATGGCCAAGTCAAATTCAATTAAGATGCTGTGGCGAGACCTTAAAAGGGAAGTTCATGCTCGAAAACCATGTAATGTGGCTGAATTAAAATTATTTTGCACAGAAGAGTGGGCCAGAATTCTTCCATGGTGATATAAAGAACTGATCACAAGCTATCACAAACATTTAACTGCAGTTGTTGCTGCCAATCGTGGACCAACCAGTTATGAGGTTTAGAGGGAGAATTACTTTTTTCACAGGGGTGATATAAGTTTTCAATAAATCTTTAATAAATCCTAGTTTAAAAATTCAATTTTGTGTTTTATCTGTTTTCTTTGTCTAATATTAAATAAATGTAAATATTACTCTAATGATCTAGAACATTTCAATGTGAGTAATATGCAAAAACAGAAGACATCAGGAAGGAGAATTCTTTTTCACAGCACTGTATAAGCCATTTTACAGCGTGGAGGAATTATTTCAATAAAAAAAACTTCAAAACATGCAATTTCAAAGCACAGAGATGAGTTTTTAGGGGTTTAGTTGGTGCCTTGTTCTGCTAAAACATCCATGGCGTTCATGCTGGTGCTCGCTGTTCAGTGCGCTGTCTGATTGCTGTACAAATCTGTGAATGGAAGAGGTGATGAGAAAGCTGACCACAACGTCTGACCACCTATCATCTGGAAAAGAAATGACCGAAAACTACTCATACAACCATTTAAAATATAAAACCTGATGGATTGTAGAACCATGATTTATTACCATTTATAAATGGAGGTGACTAATGTTTGATAATGGCTCATTAAAAATTAAGAAACCCCTTTATATCCATACTGTCATTATAGCTGCAATATTCGCCACAGAAGAGAAACACGCTGCCACGTTATTGAGTGAGTCTATTCAAACAGCAGAATGTGAACTTCTTCATAAAAATGTAATTAAAAAACGCTCATACCATCAATATTTTACATTTACTGCATTGCTGTTTCTGACATTCATATTTTGCCCCCACCTGCTAAAGTACAAACTACCAATAACATTAAAATGTCCACATTTTTAAGATCATAAAATGTGAGAACTTTAACTTAAACTTTAGACATCCTGAATCCAAATTTAGATCTAACACTAATTTTGATCATAGTTTATGATGGAAAGTACAAATACAAGGTTATACTTTTATGTATACCATGTATATAAAATACCAAGCTAGTTTATCACTCTTTGCATTATTGTTCTTAATGTGGATAATATCACTTTATTACATATGCAGCGTTGACTTAAAAAAAAAAAAATCTATTCTATGAATTAGTTGGTGTGTTGTTGGGTTTACAGCACAACAATCTGAATAAAAAGGAACACACTGAAGCTTTAGTATGGTAAAATTTTAATACAACGGTACAATGTTGAGACTACAGCTGAGATATACACACTCTAGGATACTAAAATGAATACCAACTTAATAATAATTATAATAATAATAATAAAACTCATAGAAAAAAAAATCACTAAGACATTGGCAGCTTTGGTATACCTACTGACATTTAACTCACTAAGGCACCTTGTGACTTGAGCACACTGATACAACATGGAGGTAAACCCCCTAAAAACATATAGTATGGAAGAAATAAGGAGGAAAATCAATCAAGTCTTGCAAATACTGCAACAGACCTGCAACTATGATGCAAACAATTGCCTGTTCATGTGTGAAAAGGATCACTAGGATCAGATACAGTTATCATTTACAAAAACAATAATAACTTGCAGGACTTTATTTCATAAATAAATCACAGTGGCAAAAATACAGAGACAATATGATTATCCTTCTTGACATATAACACTGAAACACTTCATTCATAGCTATGAATTTGGGATCAATGTTCCTGTCCAGTAGACAAGGCTGAATGAATGAATGAATGAATGAATGAATGAATGAATGAATGAATGAATGAATGAATGAATGAATGCCACCTCAGTGGATTTTCAAGTAACACTGCTGCGGCTTCAGTGTCCAGGTTGTGTCACTCCTCCCGTGTGCTCTGTACCATGGAGTACTTCTTGCAGGGGTTCTTAAGGCAGGCGGGAGGCCAGGTGATGGGCCAACTGTACGAGCACGGCACTGAGGTCTGGACGTTCCTCTCCATGAAGTTGAACACTGGGTTCCACCAGGTGTTGGTGAGGTAGTTGTTGGGCGAACACTTTAGAGTCTGTCAAAACAATGTCAGATATCCATTAGAGTAACATCATGAATAATAAAGTGTTTGTTTGCAACAGAACAGAGACACATTGTCTGTAACTACTGATATAAGGCTGGAATTTATTTGAAGTCTTTTCGTGGTTGGAAGTTACATTAGCAAAGAACCTCTGATCATTTTTATTTATATCAAAGGATAGGGTTGTTGTTTTTTAAAACCAGAGCTGTGGTGGAGGTAGAGTCACATAAAGAAGAAATGTAGTGATAAAGAAGAATAACCCATTAGACTTGACTAACTCAGACTGCAAAAGCCTCATTTTAGCTTTGAACCACTTTACAGAGACAAACAATATATGATTAAAAAAAAAACTGTTATTGTAAATAGAGTAATAAAACACAGAAAACTTAATATTGAAATCAGTGGTAAAGGTTGTATGATTTTCTTTTACTTCTTTGGTCTTCTTTTTTTTTTTAAGATATTTTTTGGCCTTTTTAGATAGTACAGAGAAAGAGATAGGAAAGTGGGGAGAGAAGAAAGGGGGAAGGACCTGCCGCAAATGGTCATGAGCGGGACTCGAACCCATGACCACTGCGTCGGGGACTATAGCCCCTATACATGGGACGCCAGCTCAACCAGGTGAGCTATGGTGATGCTTCTTTGGTCTTCTTTTTTTTTTAAAGATATTTTTTGGCCTCATTAGACAGGACAGAGACAGATAAAGGAAAGTGGGGAGAGAAGAAAGGGGGAAGGACCTGCAGCAAATAGTCATGAGCGGGACTCGAACCCATGACAGCTGCGTCGGGGACTATAGCCCCTATACATGGGATGCCAGCTCAACCAGGTGAGCTATGGTGATGCTTCTTTGGTCTTCTTTAATGGAAAATTGTGGTGAACATTAACCATGACAAGTGATTTGTGAGTTTCATTGCATTATAATAGGGGATTACATTGATGTATTAAAGACACAGTCTTAAAACATTCTGTCTAAGTGTATAATAATATGTAATAAATAAATCATTTTGTTTAAACATACTCAGTGATAAATTCTTGTGTTACCTTGTAATGTTAAGCCAGTACACTTGATGTCAACTTGCAGAACACAGACACTAAATCCCTTCATTCACAATTCACTCAAGGTTCAATGGGAGGGGACGCACACACACACACACACACACACCTACACACACACACATACACACACACACATACACACAGACCTGTAAGTTGGCCATGGTGTGGTACCACCAGAACAGCCGGGAGGTGATGAAATACGCCACAACCACGTCCACGCTGTAGTGCTCGTGTGCCACCAAGATGCACACCACCCCCACAGCACTCAGCAGCCAGCACATGAGATGGTACCACCAGAACGACCGCGGCGAGTCTTAAGGGAGACGTAAGTGAAGACAAGAGTGCGGTTAATATTTATAGCAACATTGATTTGTGGTTTGTTCTTCCATATCTTCAATGTAAAAATAAGTGGCCATTTGGTGACAATAAAATGTGACGACAACAACAGAAAGACGTGAAACAAAATCTTTGTAAGCGTGGAAATGAAAAAACCCCAACATATTTTCACCTTTTATTCACCTGAGCAGAAACATAAACTCTAAAAGGACACTGTGTCTTCAAATCTCTGTTGTCAAATGTTGAATATTTCATGAAAGAAAAGCAGTAATGAAGTTATTTGTATCCCATTAGCGCCTATAGGGCGACGTGTAGCTGTATAATACTACAATATCTGCCACAGTGAGAGTGGGAGTGGAAACACACAATATAATTCATATATTATTCATGCAAAAATCCCATAAATTATTTGACACAAGCAAACAAACAAGGCTTTCTTTGAGCACTCACACTCCTTGATGAACAGATAGGTGAGGGTGAGCATCACCGTGTGTCCGCTGTAGAGGAAGTCTCCACACAGGAGGTGGGAGTTTGTGATGGAAAGCCCTCCGCCTGAAATCAGCCGCAGAATTCGCTGAATTTTTGCCTGGGAGTCTCCGTGAAGCTGATGGAGAACAGGAAGAACGGAATGAGGGAGATACTGGATCAGCAGTAACATTAAGGCTGCAAGGAATGGATATTATCATCACTGGTATTTTTTGCAATCAAACATTTTTTCTACAAAAATTTTGAATTGAGTGCAAAATGTGAGTTTCCAGTTCTGAAAAAACAAGCCAAAAAGTTAACACTAGTAATTTACCTGATGTAAAATAAAAGAAAGCAGCTAAACTTCACATGTGATAAGCTGAAACAACAAGAACTTTACAAATACTTAAATGCTAACCCAAACAATTAGTACTATCAAAACAAATTATCCTACTAAATTAATAGCTTGACACTTTATTCTTCATGGTGATGACACGACAGTATTAAATTACTGTTCAATAAAGATTTGAACAGCATTTCCAACTACATGTAATAACAACATCATAATACAATCTTGTGTTTGTACCTGCTGCTTTAGTTAGGGGAGATGATTTGCTTTTTAAGTCTTCCATACATGGTCAACATATGAAATTGTTTGAGAAAAAACCCCCCATCCAATTATCTAGCCTGTGATCCTTTTACACGACACAACGCAACAAACAACTGCCAGGGGCACATGTTTTTGATCAGACACTAATGCACCTCGATATCGCTGGTTTCCTGAGGCAGTAAAAGCTAAAATGGCTTTTTTTATAGCCACTTGTGCGGTCGTGCAAAGCAAGTCCCAGAGATTGCACAAGAGATACGACTACTGACAGTCCCTCTGATGTTTGCATGCTACTCACCTTAGGAGCACAAGTCATGTGCATACCAGGCACAGGCAGGGTGGTGATGTACATCGTGACACAGCGGTACAAGTACAGGGTGCCGATGAGAAAGAAGAACCGTCTGCATGCTATTGACCTGCAGATGAACAATGTAAAAGCCACCATGGGCTGATAAATGTGCTGATGATATTGTGGTCTCTTCATTTTGCAGTACTTCTTATTTAATCCCTATATACAGTGTAACTATGCCAATATACCACTGACATTAATGATGCATACTCTGTTTACAAAAGGGAAACATCTACTGAAATGCACTAAATGCTGAGAACTGCAGGCAATCTTGCTCGGTGTGATTAATCAGTATGTTGAAAAACTCCTGTTCAGTCAAAATGAGTTTTATTAGCCAGACCAAATGTTGACAATGAGAAGTCCTCACTAGAGTGTTGTAGCACTGTGTTAAACGTGCTATTTGTGTTTTTATTGTTAATGTTGAGCATTGCAAATTCTATGTCTATAAAAGGCATGGTATCTTTAAAAGAAGATGATGCCATTTGTCAGACAGAAACTGTAAAAACAGAAATACTTTTCAAATTCGCAGTGGTCGTTGAGCTGCTCATCTGTGATGTGCCATTCAGTCGGCAAACTTAATCAAATTCAAGCTTAAACTTGTGACATTTCAGCAAAATCATTCTATTCTACATGTCCCGTTTAAAAGCCAAAAATACAACTTGTGCTCTTGGGACTCAGCTGTGACTGATAGTCTAGAGAATAAAACTCTGGCTGAACTGGGCTGAACTTCCAGCTGTGCTTGCACATAGCAGATAAGAGACAAGTATGGAAATAAATTAAAATGTAAGTAGGAAAATATCTATAGCATGCAGAGTCACTTTTTTTTATTTTATTTTTTTACAGTACTTGTAACTTCTGTGGGCATTTGGGAACATGCTGTAAATGCTGACTTTTCCAAAAATAAATAGACACTTTCTTTTTGTTTAATGATTTATGGCACTGTTAGCGTGTTATACAGCAAAGAAGATATTTTTTTTAGTTCTTTCTCCTTCTAGCTGTGGTTGTTCTGTTTCCATAGAGGTGCATCCCTATTTGTTAAAGTGAAAAAGGAACCCACAGTGGGTTAAAATGTGACAGGAGCAAATAAAACGCCTAAATACCTTCATGGTAATTCATACAGGCAAATGACCAAAAGTGGAAGACTTCATGATATTTATTAATTAAATCAAACATTTTCAGCTACATATAAATGGTGACTGTATGTTTTGTTGTCAGCTCTCTGAACTGCTAATGTTTAACAGCCATACCTAATCTCTCCCCCCCCTTTTTAAAAAAAATATATTGAGTGTTTTTCCCCCTGTATTTCTCAATTTTTTCACAAACTCCATAAAAATACCTCATCAAATATCACCAAACTTGTCTTTAAGCGTAAAGAAAACAATATGCAACAGATAGTATCAGTGGTTCTTACCTGTATCTAAAGAAGAACAACTGGATCATCCAAATGGCCAACAGCACCATGCCATTGATCTCCGTCACCGTAAACGCCCACTTGACCCTGTCGATATAGTCAAAGAACTTATCAGGAAGAGGTGGGCTGTCCTCTTTCGGCGGGACCCTCTCGTGGACGACCGTGATGACGACTGTTGTCAGAACCAAGTTAAAACCGGCATAAAAAAAAGCGATTGCCGTCTTCCACCACTCCATGGGCAGACGGTTGACCTTGGACTCCAGCACGGAGATCTTCACGTAGTCATTATGCCTGCCTATGCCTTTCCGAAAGCCCTTCTTTGCATCCTCTCCGCCTGAAGTGTGGACAGGACAGGTTTTGCCGCCGCTGGGCACGGCACCACCCTCCATTCCTGGGTTAAGATTGTCGGCGGCTGATTCTCTTGCATCCACAAGCTCCTGTGATGCCATGGGTGTCTGCACTGTCCATTCACAGGCGCCGCTCCTCTGGGTTGAGGTTTGTTAGCTGCCATGGGAGAAATCAAAAGGTTGAAACTGACAAACTTTGCTCAAGATAGAAAAGATCTTCTGTAAACAGGCACTGGGTGGTTGTATTAAGGATGTCAAATCATCATGATGAGAAACAGAGAAGGGATGAACCCTGGTTTACTTTTGTTTCCACTCTCACCTATTTTAGGGATGAACAACGCAAGGGATGGAGGCATTATTGATGCTAACTTCTTGATTCTGCCAACTGAAATGCCCCATTTAGACTGAAAAGCTATTTTTAAGTTTGTAGCACCCAGTTATATAGATGTGGCTGTGTGAGTTAATGCTGTGAGTTATATTTTCCTTTCACTGGACATTCAGGAGAATCACTTTAACAGTTTTCTATTTGGATGTTCAGTCAAACTCTCAGTTTAGGATTTCCAAACTCTTTCTGGTACACTGGTTTGTTTTGGGTCTTTGAACTTTCCTCAACAGGCAGCTGCTATGGTCACTTCAGCTGTTTTTATGTCTAGACATTACCCTTAAGTGTGTCTATCTGTCACCTCATTGTTCAGAGCTGGACGTCTGAATCACGCCTAGAAGACAATCAAAGCGGGAGATAAGCACATGAAATTTTGTGACGCTGTTGTCAGTAAATGACTTGAGAGCACACGAAAGCAATGACCATTTTCAATCTTTCACATCTAAAAAGCTTCCTTAACGGTTCCATTAATGGACTGAAGAATATTGCTATGAACCCTGAAATGCATCACAATAAATGTCGTCTGCCATACACACAGAATGCAATGTTTACTTGTAGAGAAGCCTGGCAGCAGGATAAAAGGTGGGATAGAAATAGAGTATGGCTGGATGCAAGAGAGCCGCTGAAAGTATCAGTTTCCTCAGAATCAATTTTTGGGAAAATATTATTACAGCAGAGAAGGGATAACAGTATAATGCCCTCTGACTAACCCACAGCAGACTCAGTCTCTGTTATGCAACTGATAGAAGAAAACAGAACACAAGTTATGACAGGCTTTAAGGGTTCATATGGTATGCTAATCCTGACCAAGAAGCCAAATAAGATCAACAAGGACAAACAAACAATATAAACCAATTACAATGCCATGCCCCTCATGCTATTAGTGAGATACATTAAGCTTATGCAGGGCATAGTTGTTGCAAATATCGATTTTACTGTTTAAAAGTGTTGGAAGGAGGCAGTACTATTTCTACCTTTATGTATGAGTCCCTATGTATTTTATATTTTTGCATCTGTTCATAGTCATTCAGTACAACTTAGATGTGAGATACTTATTTTCCAGTGTTCCCTTTGGCTGGTACTCGCAGCCATATTGGAAACTGAACGGGGAAGACCAGCTGCGAGAACCACACGTCTTGTTTTCATGTTGTTCTGTCTGTCGCTGTTGTGAGCTGCTGTGTGGAAACTCAAATATTTCCGTTATTTCTGTACGATGATGTGTGTCAAGGTGATGTAAAGTGCTGTGAATAAAGGTTTTCCACCAAGCACAATAAAGTCTAACTATCTACCTAAGTTGACTGCTGTGTATGTGCAGTACATGTGAGGGTCAGGAGAGCAGAGTGTCTCCATTAGACTCATTTTCCGGTCCCCTCCTCCCTCATGTACAGTACACAGCATTTTCCCACCGGCAACAAGTACTGGGTGGTGATGGAAAACTGGCAGAAAAACCTATTCCACATGGTCACAGGCCATAATGGATAACTTGGCCGCCTCCTCTCACCCGAGCTATTTCAAGAGAAGTCAACCAGTTGCCTTGAAGGCTGTATTTTACTCCAGGGGAACCAGGGTTTTGACTCCATTTTGGGGCCTTCATAATAACATGCTTCTCTTGCTGTCCACTCATTTTCTTTTTCTACATCATGTAGACTGTCTTCATCAAAGCGAAGGTTAAAAATAAGTCACACCAGAGGTGGCCCTGCCCTCTAGGAACTGGTGACTCCACAGAGAGGAGCTCACTTTACGATTGCTCTAAAACAAGTCAAAGAACCTTCATGTTCAGCAGTAAAGCTTGTTGTAGTTTTGTGCTTGTGACGTGTTCTGTTTTGATTTCACCTTCACACTCAAAATTTATGTTCGAATTCTCACCAAAGAAGATCTCACTGAAGTATCTCACACAGGTTTGTGTACTTGAACGCCACATGTTGAAGATTTGTAATTAACAATAATGTGTCTGTGATGAAAGAAGGCTCCCTTTTTTGCTTTGACAAAAGAACCAGATGTGTGTTTATTATTACTATTACTGTTTCGTGCCGTAGTAGAAGCAGCAACAGTAAAAAGCATATTTTGTGCTTAAGTAAAAGTGGCAATTCCACAGAATCAGAGTAAAAGCACTGTGTTCTAAGTAAGAAATACTGCATTCAGCATCTTATTTGGGTAACAGCATTAGTAAAATAGTAGTAGTAGAAGTACTTTTTAATACATTAATTTGTAAGTAGCACTTCACTGCCGTAACTGGCCCAGCTGACACTAACTGTAACTACTCTTGACTGTCATATAATATTTTTCTGCATTTAGAATGACCCTGTGCAATATCATTGTTTTTCGCTTTCAGATGAATCTGTGCAACATCTACATATTCTACATGTAGAAGAATCTGCATAACATTATCTGTGATTCTGTATATTTATACTTGTTTATTTGTGTTTTTACTAATGTTCCCTATGTGTTTGCATTATCCCCTTTGCTGCTTTAACACTGCCTATTTCCCTGCAATGGGATTAACAAAGGATGATCTTATCATGTAAGTTCTAAAACAATGCAAAACATCATATAGCCTCATCATGTGCTGTCTATGTAGACACTTATTTTCCAAAGAAAAATGAACTAGTATTCAAAAACTGTACATCAGCAATTGGTTACACACTTCTACTTTCAACCACCTGCTAGTAAGTGCAACAGGAATAATAGCAGTGATAACCAAGATACTATTACTTTTGGTAGCAGATCTTGATGTGAGGAGCAGCTTGTGTTTTTATTTATCATGTCATGACAACAGTGTGAAAGACAGCAAGCAGAAGTTTGTAACCTTTGGGTTTTTGCCACACATATGTTAGTCACTACTGTTTAACAGATTAACAACCAGGGCTGTTAATCAAAGACATGGGGAAACACATTCTTTCGTGAGAGAACAAATAATTGTTGTTGTATCTAAAGCAACACATCCCATTTCATAGCAGCAAAAATAGTCCCACTGAACATGGACCCAGCCCTCTGTTTCTGGGTTCCACAACCACATGAGGGGTTTAAACTGGCAGTAATGTCAGGTTCAGGACTGGGTGTCTCCCATATGTTACATGGCGGCAGGCTGTCACAAATGGTGTTCAGGGCACAGCCGGTTTTGAAGTTTACTTTTGGGGTGTAGCACAGTGGCCCCACACACAGTCTTAAACACTAGGTTCCATATGAGGCTGCTGGGTGGGGCAACAGGTCACTGCACGTCCTGTAATTAAGCCCTCTAGTTTCAGTCAGAGCTACTGCAGTTGGGAACTGACAGCTGGATTATGAAAATGGAACTAAAACAAAAACATGTATGTATCTCAAGCAGTCTGCTCACTTCAGAAATAGGTTACTGCTTTTGATTTGCATTGTGACAACTTGCCTTTTGCCCTTTTGTGTGTCATTCAAGGTGATCATCATTATCATAACACACTTGCAGCTCATGAAAAGGGAACTTTTTGCATTAATTTATGAACACGTGAACTCTATACAACAAATAAACAATCAAATGTGTTTACTAGAATCCACATCGCTTCTGTATTTACAGGCAAGACTGATGAAAAGTTGACTGTCATCAGGAGTATAAAATCCATTCGTCTGCCGCCTACCATCCTTTTCAACATCACAGCCACGACGCAGACGGATGAGAGGACGATCCTTCTGCATTTACATTCACATGTTGCACAGTTTTATAGCATCCTACCTGCCTCGCTCGGGCCTCCTAGCACCTCTTCCTGGAGTTCGCAGCTTCTCGAATCCCCGGTGCTGCGCCCTGTCTGCTCGCTGCTCCTCTCCGCCTGCACTGGCACATTACGCGACACTGCTGCTGGCTTTTGAGGGAGCGCTCCTCCCTGATGCCCCACATATTCTCACATCCATCCTCCAGCCTCCTGCCTCGCATCCCCTTTAATTCGGAGGAACCGTCCTGTAATCAACACACGCGTCGCCCTCTAACTCCGTTTCTGCCGTATTTAAATAGATGCAAGAGTCGCATTTTGCGCACACTTTGAGCTGGTATTTTAGTTTGTGTGGAGATATATTTATTTAAAAAAAAAAAAAGGATCTGCGAACATGATGTAAAAAAAATATTATAATATATGTATACTTTTTGTTTTCACTTATTTAGTCACGATTAAGTCAAATTATTTGCCTAATTTATCACACAGCAATGCCAGTAAAAATACAAATGGAATTTCCAGCATAAATGATTAAACTAATTTTATGTTACATCTTGAGAACTAGATGTTTCTTTGCGTCTTTGACAAGAACAGGTCGCAGATCAGTGGAGTCGCTGAGTCGCTGTCTAGTTCCAGGAGACGATGATGAAGCTAAACTGATCTCAGGCCAGTTCATTCCAGAATCCACCACATACCGAGGAAATGCGTCAGCTCTTCGCCGGTGACGTGGCCGCTCTTCCCGGTGGTGGTGCCAGGTCTCCTCGGCTCCGGGCTCCTCCATTCACTGAACGTACCTGTGCCTATAAATCAACATTAACGGTACCTGTGTTCGGAAACAACGAGCCCGTTGCTTTTTGTCATCCGGTGTGTTTGTTTTAAAGCCGGTTAAACCAGCCATTGACTGCTGCCGGCCATGGAGACTCATGGCAACTCGCACAAGAAACAGAAGCTAAGCAACGCTGCCGAGAGCTGGGTGAGTTTTCTTTTCTTTTTTTCTTTTTTGGCCAAGTTGTGTTAGTTCAACCCGACGTTTCATCATGTCCGTCCACCTCCACACACCAGCTGCTAATGAGCTAACAGGCTAGCCGGCCAGGCAGCTAGTTTAATTAGCACATTTACCGTTAGCTCGACTGCTACACACCAAAGCTAGCTCTGTGTTTGAAGCCTTGCTAGCTGAAAATTGGCTAATGAGTTTTATTTGGTTTTGGAAAGGCTTCAACTATCTGGCGAGTGCCTTTGCAGCTGTGATAACATTACACACGAGGGTTCCAGCATCTTTCTGAGTGAAATACGGTTAGAAAAACCTCCTGTGCTTTTCATACGTAGCCTACTTCTGCAAGCACGAATGCTTGTTTGAAAATGGTTCAGATGCTCAGTGGCTAAGTCTGCACTACAGTGTCTTTGCACATCATGGTTTTTCACAATCCTTCATACAGTATTCTCACACAAACACACAGCAGAGTCAGTCTTTGTTATGCAACGGATAGATGACAACATGACACAAGTTGTGACAGGCTTCAAGTGTTCATAAGGTGTGTTGATATAATCTCAATGCCATGCCCCTCACGTTGGTAGTAAGACTCTGTTGCCAATCTGTGGTTCATTACATTGCAAGTTGTAAGTCAAAGACATTTAAGGAGAAGTCACTGTTGCAGATCAACCACAGAGTTTGCATTATGAGCATGGTTTTCTGAAATAAAGCAGTCTCGAGTATAAGACTTTATTCTGTGTTTCTACAGGTAATCTACTTCTGCATGCACAGTTGCTTGGTTTGATTTGTGCTTTTTACACTCAGTGGCTGGCTCTGCCTTGCAATATCTTTTAACTATCCTGTTCTTCCAGAATCTACCAGACTATCATCTCAGACAAATGCACAAACCCACAGCAGATTCATTCCACGTTATGCAACAGATAGATGACAGCAGGACACAAGTTCTGACAGGCTTTAACGGTTCATAAGATGACTTTGTACTGACCAAGAGGGCAAATAAGATCAACAAGAACAAACTATATAAGCCAATTACAATGCCGTGCCCCTCGAGTTATTAGTGAGATTCAGTTGCTGCTCAGTGGTTGGTTATACTGCCAGTTGTGATCCTCTATGCCAAGGACATTTAAGGGGAAATCACTATAGCTGATCTATCAAACAGTTTGTATCATGAGTGTAAATGGTTTCTGGAATAAGGCAGTCTCTGGTTAAACAAGTTTTTCTGTGCTTTTTGTAGGTGATCTACTTCAGCAAGCAGAAACGTTTGTTTGATTCACTGTTAAAATGCTCAGTGAGGAACTCTGCACTGCAGTATCTTTAACCAACATGGTTTTCTAGAATCCTACAAACAGCACAAACAATAATCTCAGACAAACTCACCAACACAGAAATAGTTAGTCAGGTGACAACTTTTTAAAATTTGAATGTATTTCTACCAAGAATGAACGCATTCTCAAATCTTAGGATTTAAAACCCATCTTTGGTTTTGCATTGCTGATTTAACCCAACAAGAACTTTGTATATGTCACCGTTGGTTATGGCAAAGCTGTTAGATAATAATTACTACTTTAAATGAGAATGCAAATGATCATTCCTTGCAGCTCTACATTCATGTTCTAAGTTTGTGTCATAATACAGAACAGCCTGCAGATTTCTGATTAATTATATAAGACCACTTTTAAGAAGATTTTTTGTATGATCAATTTTAAGTTTGTGAGGCTTGATGTGTTTTCTAAGAATATGTATTACTGGGCTGCAGGTGGGCTGATTTGACACTAAATCTGTATCATTTCAGGGAATGCAACGGGCAACTAATGTCACCTATCAAGCTCATCATGTAAGCCGAAACAAGCGAGGGCAGGTTGTGGGCACAAGAGGAGGATTCAGAGGATGCACCGTTTGGCTGACTGGTAGGTTACGAGATGTTAACAAAACACATTCCAGGATGGCATTAATTAATGAATGCATGCAAGTATTTTTTTTTTCCATAATCCTGTGCTTTTCTTCCTTGTAAAGGTTTGTCTGGTGCAGGGAAGACCACAGTGAGCATGGCTCTGGAGGAGTACCTTGTGTGTCATGGTATTCCCTGCTACACGCTGGATGGGGACAACATCCGTCAGGGGCTGAACAAAAACCTTGGTTTCAGCCCAGAGGACCGTGAAGAGAACATTAGGCGCATTGCTGAGGTGGCCCGGCTTTTTGCTGATGCAGGGCTGGTCTGCATTGCCAGTTTCATTTCTCCCTACAGTAGGGTGAGTGACTCTCCAGAGACAGTATCAGCAACTGAATGAGAGAATTAGATGATTACAGGAATATATGTGCCTAGGCATCACCAGCACAGTATACTGTCGTGTACTCTTGAAACAGAAAAATAACCAAACCTGTTGAGCCTCAAAAATGTAGTATCTTTCACTAACTGTTTGACTTCAGTCGTCTTTTGCATCTCATTTTGTGTATGGTTATTGTCTGTCAGGATCGCCTTAATGCCAGGAAGATCCACGAGGCTGCAGGCCTGCCTTTCTTTGAGGTTTTTGTTGACGCCCCACTTGACGTATGTGAGCAGAGGGATGTGAAGGGGCTGTACAAGCGAGCCCGAGCTGGGGAGATAAGAGGTACAGTATGATTTAATTCTGTTTGTTTGCAGTGTATGATCCCAACATTCACATGATAAAACTTGATAAATGACTTGACATTTGGCATGTAAGTCACATTCTGGAACAGCTCTTTTTTTAAAGCAGCAGTGCGATCCTGACTCAGTATTCTGTATTTTGTGTCATTTCTGAAAATCAGGTTGGTCTTTGTTAGTGTTCCTTTTGTCTTAGGGGTGTAATGCGAATCCATTTTCTGGATCTGTGTGCTTCACCCTAATATCTGTATTTATTTGTATCTTTTTGTATTTACACCACACGTGGTAAAAATTTGCTGCATTTGCTTTTTTTTTTGCATCAGATTGTTTTACATAGCCATTCATACTCCCCTTAGTTAGCTATTCAAAATATACAGACCAACAACAGTTTTTCTTTAATTAAATAAATGATAAAAACTATTTTATTTTCTGCAGTTAGAGTTCCCTTGTATGTGTCGTTTTCCCCAGACTGTTTCCCTCCTTCATGCCCGGCTTGTGTTGTAGTTTAGGCTTTGTACAATAAATTAAAGATACCAATGATGCATTTTATTTCCCTCCTCACTCTGCAAACATAATAAACAATACCTGTTCATGACCCATAGTTTTGAGAAGATATTGTAGGACAATGTTTTTTTTTTTGTTTTTGTTTAACCCAGACCCAAAACATTCAGTAATATCTCTACATAAGTTTTATGCCCAATTTTCATGTGTGTATAGACTCCTTATCCAACTAGTATAACCGGTAGTGGAAAAAGCCTTTCCCAAATTGCTTCACACAACCTGAACTATAACGTGTATAATGTGTGTGCCTGTCTGATAATGTAGCAGCATGCAGTTGTGACTTCTGCAGTGTTGAAAGTGATACAGAAATGTTAGTAAGAATGACTAAGTAAGTTTGCGGCTTCTATAGAGAAGTGACCAGGGTGTTAATTTAGACATGAACACGACACATTCTGTTGCCATAAGATTAAAAGAAAACTGATGTTTAAAGGAGACTTAAGTAACAGCTACATAAATGCCGGGATACACGGTTGAACATTACATTGTCACATGATGATCAACGCTCCAAATTTACCTCACCTGTCTGTGATTTTAATGTGGTGACTCATCAGTGGACGTATCATGGTGCACAACATCGTGAGGAAATACTGTAAAAAAAACAAAAAAACAAAAAAAAACACGGCTGTGATACAGTGTATACAGATTGCAGAGGCAAAATCACAGTCTATGTTTAGAATTAATTCTATTCTTTTTGTATTCCTTTGACTCTCCTCACCCTATGTTTGTAAGAACTTTAAACAGGTGACCTGCTGCAGCTTCTGCACTCTACATAGGATACCGTTTGCAGTATTGTGACCCCGCTTGCAATTAGGGGAAAGCACAATGGGTTAACCTTTCTTGCTTCAGCTTCCAGATAATAACTGGCTCTG